GTGGCCGGGAGCGGCCACTGCACTCCAGTCTGGGCGACAGAGACTCCAACTCAAAACAAACAAACAAACAAACAAAAGACTTTTCATGACATCTTTCACTTATGGTTAGAGTATCATTTGTATACAGTCTTCGTATGATTTGACTTTGTGTTTCCTTGTACCTTACACCTTTCTCTTGAATGCATAAGCATTATCATGTAGGAAGGATTACATTGCTATGGAATTCCAGAAGATGACAAAAATTATTAATGTACTGATTAACTAGCTACCCACATCTCACATTCACTCTTGAAAAAAGCAATTTTAATGAAAACATTATTAGAAATTATGAAATGTGTAGCTCCAGCTATGGGTTAATACCAGTGTGATTTCTTGTTTGTTTCTGGAATTTAATTTAAACAGTCTTTTATACTCTAAAGTTCCTTGGTATGAGAATTCAGTGCTGCCATTCCATAAAAAAGATATTGTTTCAGGTCTTCTTTTTTTTTTTTTTTGAGTTGGAGTCTCACTCTATCACCCAGGCTAGAGTGCAGTGGTATGCTTATGGCCACCACAGCCTCGACCTGCTGTGCTCAGGTGAGCCGTCTGCCTCAGCCTTCCAAGTAGCTGAAACTACAGGTATGTGCCACCACGCCAGGCTGATTTTTTGATTTATTGTAGAGACGAGGTCTCACCATGTGTTTCAGGCTGATCTCGAACCCCTGAACTCAGGAAATCCTCTAACCTCGTCCTCCCAAAGTGCTGGAATTACAGACGTGAACCAACACACCCGGCCATGTTTCACATATTTTCATTCAAGATCTTTCCCTTATTTTTTACATACATGTTTGAATTGCAGAATGAGAGCACTTGAACTTTTTAAACTGTGGTTCATTCTGATTCTAATTATATTTTATAAATGGTGGGGAAAAAAGTAAAATAAGAATGTTCTATGGTCATCTGAATTCTGTTACAATAGATTGAAGTAACTATTCCATGATTTATTTCAGTGTCATTTTGGTGGAATCATCAACATTTGTCTCTTCGCCATTGCAATTAATTAAGTCCAGGCAATACATGACCCACAAGTAAGTATCTTCAAATTTTATACTCATAAGTATCTGAGAAATTAGTACTCAAGGAAACTTCTTGATTACACAATAGTTTTCATCTATTCAAAAGGTTCAATTTACATTATTCACACTCATTCAAATATATGTTTATGTGTTACTAGGTTCACGTGCATGAAAACTGAATAAATATGCACTTGATTAAATACATTATTTGTAGTAGGTACACACTCAATTAGTGAATACTGAACTGTTGTTCTTAGGAAATATAATCACATAGATTATAATCACAGATCCTAAAAGCAACTCATCCTGGTAGATTCTATTTTACGAAAAGAAAATGAGATTCAGAAGTGATAAATGACTCTTCTGAGGTCACCCCACTAACAAATGCCAAATGCACTATCTCTTACTCTCTACAGCTTCTCCTTATCTCTGTACATGTATAAAGATTGAAATAAGAAGATCAGTGTCACCTTGTTTGACCTCATCTGGAAAATGGTGTAGATAGGGACTAAAACTTTTTGCCACTCTGCACATGTTCTTAAACACTGGTATATTAAACACCGGGATATAAAACTGCACATGTTCTTAAACACTTAAAAACTTAAAAACTTAAACACTTAAAAACTACATATGTTCTTAAACACTGGGATATTAAACACTGGGATATAAAAACCAGGAGTATTGATTTGGGGGTTCTAAATACATTTTCAGCAAGTAGGCAGATTTGCAAATGTGGAATCCATGGATAATGAGGATTGACAGAATTTAAACTCATTCCACCTACTTTATGAAGTCTAAATTTAGTTTAGGAATTCTCTTTGACATCTGAATAGAGAAGTAGGATTTTTTAAAACTTTGGTTGCCTTACATTGGTCATCTTTTTAAAACTATAGAATCACTACCTAAAGTGAAGTATGATTTAAAACAATGTTACCAAGGTTAAAGAAAGTCAGGCAGAGAGAACATAATGCAGGTGTCTGTTAATGAAATGCATGCCTATGTTGACCGTTACTACTATGTTGCTAATTTTGTCTTAGTGTAGTGCTTGACCATATCAGTGTCATCATTTTATAAGCAAAAACAAGTCAAGAGGCAAGAATCTGACAATTTTATTGAAAGGAATTCCCAGTGTTAAAGACATCAGAAACCATTAAAGTGCTTGTACAAATCTTGGTAACATTCAAATGAATATAGTTTATTTTTCAAAATTGAATTGTATTTAAATCAATACTTTTGAGAGATTATAAGAGTTGTGTTTATTATAAGATGTTGATTCTTTCAATGGTTATTATGTGAGAAAAGTTGATAAAGAAGAAACCGTTTGTCTCATTGCTTTTGTTTCATTGAATGTTAATTTTATGCTTTCCTAGGGCATTTGAGGTCTTGCCTTCATATTTTGTTTCAGTGAACAATAAAACATGAATTAATGCATTGAGCTATGTCAGCATTATAGATAGCAAAATAAGAAGACTATAGGTATTTTATGTTAATATCTTTGTAGATATGAAATGCTAGTATTGCTAAAAACACTTCCGTAAACCGTTCTAGATTTGTATATTTTCAATCCTTTGCTTCTTTTTGATTAAGTGGCTGCTTTGTAATCATAGATTTTGCCTGACTATCCTTGAAATAATTTTCTCACATCCATTGTGAGAAAAATGTATAGTATCATATATTAAAATAGAGCCAGATTTTAAAGCAATACTGTAGGTATCCATGAACTTCAATAATTTAAAATATAATCAGTGTAATTAACAGAAAAGTTGAGTCTATTTTCATGACTGGGAATGCAATATAGGAATTCTGCGTCTAAAATTTTAGAATGTTTTTCTTTTTATAAAATTCTTAAATGGGTTTGATTAGATCCAAAGTTCCAGAATTATTGAAACCATGAAAGCCTAAATCTACAAGTAAGTTCATGCAAGGAGAAACAAAAATCCTGGAATTTATTTATCAAAAATTGTGTATTTATTCTTACATGTTTAAACTTGTCACCTTCAAAGTACTCTCCGTTTGGTGCAATACACCTATCAAGCTGCTTTTTCCATTCCTCAAAACCGTTTTTGAACTCATCAATATTGATGCCTTTTAGTGCTTCTGCCATCTTTTGTTTCACCTTTACCTCATCAGTAAAATATTTTCCTGTGAAGGCTTTTTTTCATCTGGGGAAACAAAAAAGTCACTCAGGATGAGATCAGGTGAATAAGGAGGCTGGGACATGGGGATCATGTCATTTTTGGTCAAAAACTGTTGAACAGTTAGCACGGTTTGGGTAGGTGCACTCATAAGTCGCCCATCATGAAATGGGCAAACACACTGAGATACTCTCCAAAAAAAAAACATCACTGAAATCGAACGCAGCCTCTCAGAACAATGCTAGCTGGTTAGCTAGTACGCTGATGCTGATAGGTTCCTAGAACACTTACCCCTACCTACAAGGGGTTCACCCTCCAAAAAATAATTCCATTGGGGGGGGGTTCTTCTGTATTATTTTTAATGGTATGCTTCTCAAATAAAAAACAAAATGGAATAACAAGTATAAAAGCAGTTAGAATTTAATTTAAATAAGAAAGAAAACCTTGGAAATGCTCATCCAAAATAATTACCAATTCAGCATAAAATACATAGTAAATATTTTTACCACGGTCAAAAGTATTATTGGTCATTCTTTCTCACATAGTGTCACCCATGTCATTTATAATACTGTACTCCCTTAGTTCTCTTCTCAAGCCTTCTTGTGATAAAACAAAACAAAACGAAATAACAAACAACAACAACAATAATAATAACAATAAAGATGCTGAGACATTGAGTTTTCGGTCAGAGAACATATGATCCAACATAGAGCAATCAGGCTCCTGCAAATTAACTCTCAAAGAATAACTCAGGTTCACTCGTTTAAAGGATTGGAGATTTACTTTTATGTACTTCTATGAAGACTGTCTCCCAGTTCAGAGGGAAGGGCAATACTTATAAAGGCAAAAGTCACAAAGTTTCTCAAGGAAGGTTGATCAGTTTATACAAGTTCTTGGTTTATCATTTGAGGACTGGCATGGGTTGATGGCTGAGGCTTAAATCCATATATTGAGTTGAAAAAAGATAGCCTTAAGGTAAAGCTATTTTTCTGATAATTCTATAAAGATTTATCAGAAGTATTATTGTGGCTCCTTCATTTGACATCGTGCCTGCTAGCTATATAACACCTCCAAACTCCAGATTATGTAGCAAGAAAATCTCTATTCACTTTCCAAAAAATTAGCCAAACTATCCAAAACTCCAACAATTAAATCCACTTTTTAGGCAGCAGAGAGGAAGATGCACAGGGATAAGAATGTGTCCCCTATCTATTAGGGAAGCTTCCTAGAACTATAATACCACACAATTCAGCTTGTAGCCCATCGACCAAATTTTAATTAGATGACCAAACCTAGCTGGAAGGTATAGAGAAATTTCCTTTCTCCACATACACATCTAAGTAAAATTAGGGTTTAATCAGTGAGGAGGAAAGGGCAAATGCTTTTTGAGATAGGAAGACAAGGCTTCACCATGAGGGGACATAAAAGAAAATTTAATCCTCAAGTAGCACAAAATAATCTAACATATCATCAATCTGGCTTCATTGGCATGATGAGGCCTTTTGATATTTAAATATTTGTTAATAAAATAATACGTAATAATGTCATACCTTGCTTTTTTTAAAAAAGTCTCCTCATTATTTGTCTTGAACAGATTTCCAGACAGCAATAAAGTTTAAGGACAGGCATTATAAGTTATAACCAGAAGCCAGGCACGGTGGCTCAAGCCTGTAAACCCAGAACATTGGGAGTCTGAGGCAAGAGAATTGCCTGGGCCCAGGGGTTTATGACCAGCCTGGACAGCTTAGCAACTTGATATATTGTCTCTACAATATATTAAAAAAATTACCCTGGCGTGGTTGCACATGCCTGTAGTTTCTGCTATTTGGAAGGCTGAGGTGGAAGGATGCTAGGGTGACCATGAGTGTACCACTGCACTCCAGCCTGGGTGACAGAGTGAGACTCTGACTCAAAAAAATAAAAATAAAAATAAATAAATAAATAATAACCAGAATGAAGTTCTGGTATAGTACCTCTATGATTAATTTTCTTATGTAATCTACTATATAATAAGTACTATATTATCTCAATAAAACCCTAGCCTGGTCTCTAGGTTTATCAACAAGGTAATACAGGAGAACAAGAAAATGTTAACAAATCTTTCACAAACAAACTGAAATTTGTAAATGTTTTTACATGTCTGTTCTCCTCTCTTTAGACACATGGTAATATTGTACTTCTCCACCAATGTTGAAGTTATATGTGAACATATAAGTTATCTGGCCAGTAGCATATGAGAAGTGCTGCATATATTTCCCAGTGGTAGCTTTAATAACTTGTGAGGAATTTTTCATGTTTCCTTCTTCTGCTACAATTATTATAGAAACACATAGAAATGAAGCCTCCTTCACTAAGGATCATTGAGTGCATGCTCCACCTAGAATGTACATGTATCATAAACAAGAAATAAACTATTATTATAGTCCACTGAGATATAGGTTTGTTTGTTACTGCAACATGACCTAGCCTATACCAACTAACACTCCACCTCATATTCACGTCAGTTAATATCTCTCCAGATAACAAATTTTCTCTTGAATGGTAAAGTATTGAAACATCTTACAGTTGGCATTTTAAAATATGATAGACTCTCCTATTAAAAAATTTTACATGCTTGTATCTATTAGTTGCTCTTTGTAAGCAACCAGATACATATAAAATAACTTGAAATTACATGAATAACAAAACCTTATATTCATCATACATTTTGCTTTGTGGGAACATGATCCATGAGCAAAACAAGAACCGTTAAGAAGTTTTTATTCTAATTAAACTCAAAGAAATTAGCAGGTAAGAATCAGTGCAAAAAATGGATTTTAGCCAAATTTTGAAAATGATAAATGTAATAGCTGTGCTCATAAATGAGTACTTTGACAATTATTTCTTAGAATAATATGACTTGCTGTTTTTTCCCAGCAATGTTGAGCTATCTACTCAATCAGTAAATTCTCACTAAGTGACACCTCTAGCACTTTTCTTAGTACTGGAAATATATAAAATTAAATGTCACATATCTTGTCCTCAAGGAGGCCATCATCAAGAAGAAAAGAGAAAATCTACCAATAGAGGCAGGTTTATAGGGAAAAATGTATTCATTATTATATATTATAAGAAAAACTACTCTGCGATATGATTGCCTAGGAATACCTCTATCTAGATTTTATAATAACTTAATGAAAGAGAAAACATTTAAAAAGAATTATGAGGCAATAAACATTTTTCCATATGTGCACTATACTTTGGTGTTTTCTCTTATTGTATAAAAATTGAGATCTGAAATATGAGCATGATCTTGATGACCACAGTCTAGAGAAGGAAGAGAGTATAGGAACATGGAAGGAGAGAATCCCAGAATCAATGGATAAAGGTATACAAGGGCAAATAGAAGCCATGTGAATTATAGTGCCAACATAGGAGTATGTAAATTATGGTTTAAAAGATGATAAAGTGTTTACAATTTACCTTTATAATTCTTTCTTACAAGCCTATGTTTCATTGAAGACTATATGCTTTATAATCTTAAGTGCTTCATCATTATCCCAGTGTCCCAGAATAGCTTGGATCAGAATAATCAAAAAATAAAAGCCCTGGTAAATATGATCTTCTGTGTTCTGACCCTTGTTAAAAATTCAACAGTAGTTGGATCTGGATAGGCATGATTTAAATATATTTATTTCTACTATACCAAATAATTAGAGCAATTAAAATTAGACCAATGCCTTAGTCTGTTAGGGATGCTATAATAAAAATACCATATACCGGGTGGCTTAAACTACAGACATTTATTTCTGACAGTTCTGGAGGCTGGGGAATCCAAGATCAAAGCACTGGCAAATTCTGTGCCCATAAGAGCCCCAACTCTGGTTCATAAACTGCAGTTTCCTTGCTGTGTCCTCGCATGACAGAAAGGCGTGAGAGAGTTTTATGAAGTCTCTTTTATAAGGGGATTAATCCCATACATGGAGTCTTTGCTTTTATGACCTAATTGCCTCTCAAAGACTTCATCCCTAACACTGGGGATTAAGTTTTAGCAAAAGATTTTGGTGGGGATACGGGAGACACAAACATTCAGCAGCAAGTCTGAGGAAAGCAGAATGAATCAGAGACCAGGTATATATAATAAGAGTAATGATCTTTTATGATCCTTTTGTTCTAGATTAGAGTCTCTTAACTTTATAAAATGTTATCAGACATTTTGGTAATATCATGAAGGTTACAGTACCTCAAAGAATAGTGTTTTCTAGACACATAAAATAAGCTGCAAGAATTAAAGACTCTTAGTCTGCTTGGGCTGTGTGAGCAATCTACCACAGACTGGGTAGATTAAATGGCAAAAATTTATTTTTCATTTTGGAGGCTGGGAAGTCCAAATCAAGATGCCACAAGTAGGTTTCATTCTGAGATGTTTTCTCTTGGATTGTAGATAGCTGCCATCTCATTGTGGGCTCACATAACCTCTTCTTCATCTCTTCTTACCAGGACACTATTTTTATTGGATCCAGGCCCCAGTCCTATGACCTCACGTAACTTTAATTACCCTCTTATATTCTCTATATGACTTCAATATGAATTTTTTGGGGTGACGCAATCTTTTTTATGACATAGAAAAAACTAAAACTACAATAAATTATCAAAATATTAAAAGTATAATATTGTAAAATAGATACTTTATTAATGTAGTGCATGTTAATATCTAATGGTGAAGCTAATACCTACCATAATTTTAAAATGAACATAATTAGCCGGGAGTGGTAGTGAGGGCCTATAGTTCCAGCAACTTGGAAGGCTGAGGCGGAAGGACCGCCTGAAACCCAGCAAGTTGGGGCTGCAGTGGCCATCAGCGTGTCACTGCACTTCAGCCTGGGCGACAGAATGAGACTCCAACACACACACACACACATACACACACACACACACACATCCTTTGGGGATGAAAAAACTCTTTGATTTCTTCAAAAGGCACTTATATTACTTGTTTCCGACAAAATAGGCAAAGAAAAAAAAAAAGACCATTTCCTTGCTAAACTATGGTGTGGCCACATGCTCTTTGAGCTATGGCAAGGCCATGTTTTCTTAAGCGTTGGCCCCTTCCTCTACCTTGTGGGGAGGTGAATCTCCTCTTTCTCCCTAATTTACTTTCTAAATAAACTAAATTTTCTAATCTAAAGAAAAAGAAAAAAAATGATGTCTTAACTGGTCTGCTTTTCTATTCACTATGATAAAAATGATTGAAGGACTAGAGATTGCAAGTATTGAACAAAATGAGGCTTGGATATTATCTGTGGGTTTTGATCAGGTGTTCTACCCAGAGCTCCTATATCAAAGAGAAGGTAATGGAGCTGTATATGGAGAAATAATAAACATTCTTTGTTATTCTTTTCACTCTGTATATATCTCTTTTATAGATACTAAAATATTTATCTATTGTGTCTATTGCAGCCTTAAATTAAAATGTCTATCAAATGCTCAAATTACATAAACTATTAAATGTTCTTTACTTTAAAAAAAAAAAAAAGTAACCAGAATGTCTGTGAGTAGAATTAAAGCACAGAATAATTACAAGAAGTGGCGAATAACCTCATTAAGAATGAGGTCTACAAGGAACTCAAACGCGCCAAAAGGAAAAAAACAAACAGCCCCATTATAAAGGGGGCAAAAGACATGAATGGACACTTCTCAATTCCGGCTACTTGGAAGGCTGAGGTGGAAGGATCGCCGGAGCCCAGCAGGTCGAGGCTGCGGTGGCCGGGAGCTGCCACTGCACTCTCATCTGGGCGACGGAGTCAGACTCCAACTCAAAAAAAAAAGATATACGAGCAGCCAACAGACACATAAAAAAGTTCTCAGCCTCACTTACCAGCAGAGAAATGCAAATCAAAACCACATCGAGATACCACCTAACCCCAGTAAGAATGGCCATCATTAATAAAACAAACAACAACAGATGCTGGCGAGGTTGTGGAGGAAATGGAACACTTCTACACTGAAATGGAACACTTCTACACTGCTGGTGGGAATGCAAACTAGTGCAACATCTTTGGAAAACAATATTGCAATTTCTGAAAGAACTAGAAATTGACATTCCGTATGACCCAGCAATCCCGCTGTTGGGAATATACCCAGAGGAACTCAAATCATTCTACAAAAAAGATACCAGTGCACACGTTTGTTGCAGCTCTATTCACAATAGCAAAAACATGGAAACAACAATGCTGCCCATCAGAGATGGACTGAATTTTTTAAAATGTGGTACATATACACGATGGAATATTATGCAGCCATAAAGAAGGACAAACATATGGACTTCACAGCAACTTGGATAGATTTAGAGTAGGTCTATTAGATCTGTGATCCATCACAGAAACAGTGAACAGAGTATCATATATTCTCACTCATAAGCGATCCTTGAAAAATTATCTTTCTTATAATACCATAAGAAAGGAATTGGCAGTAGAGGGAAACTGACAGGGGACGAATAGGCACACCTTATCTTTAAGGGTACCTGCATTTTGAACATTTGTATACCTAACCCTGAATTGTACCCCACATCTTTAAAATAAAAAAAGAATGTGGTATAAAGAAAAGACAGTGTTATTCATAAAATCAAATAAAGAAAAGGAATGGATATGCTGACAAAAAATTTACTTGGAAATAATCAATATATGTTTATAGCATCAAATTTAGACAAAAGCAGATGGAAAGGTGAGCAAATATGGGTTTGTACTTCTATAAAAAAATCAGGCAATCAATCAATATCTGTGGGCCAAAATATTAATTGATGGCTTGTTTAGCAAAATAATCATTGTTACTAAAAGAAGAGCAATATAGGAAAACTTGATGGGTTCTGGAAGGCCTGGAACCTTTTAAGGGAGGCAATTGTTTGAGACCTTAATCTGAAAATTCATTGTTAGAAATGAAGCCAGAGATACTTCTACTTTTGTAAGGAAGAAGCAAATGTGAAAACAATAAATTTAGAGAAGGGAATTTTTTTCAAGAAAGCAAGTTCTAGAGCCACATTTGGAGAGAGTACCTATTTAGTTCTAAGTTGAGGCTACCTACTTTTTGAGTATCTGGATTAGGGTTCTTATTGTTATTATTAAATGTACACTTCTCTATATGTGAAAATAAGAGGAAATATTTTTACCAAATTTTTTCAAATGATGGAAATATGGGTGATGTTAATTTCCTTTTTGCATTTTTCTGTTTTAATTTTCTAAAATAATATAAACTTCAAAGGATAGTTGAAATATCTGTAGTATCCCAATAGCATATTGTAGTTAGTCATAACTTTTAAGACTCTATAAGGTTTAACTAAGATAGAGAATTGTTTTTGACTTTTGTTTGAGTTGTTGATGTTGTTTTTCTCTTTTCTGTGACAGTGATTGTGTGAGCAGCAGTGAATGTGATACCGCTCAGGGCTGTTCCCATTTCCCACATGCCTTTAAAACCTGTGAGTACCGCAAATAAAAGTGTTTTTTTTTAATGTTTTCATGTCTGATTTTTATTTGCAAAGCATAATATGAAATCAAATATTCAACAGGGGTTGTTATGAGGATAGCCAGAATGACAAGCCCTGGGGATTGCTGGCTGATGGGAGGCCTAAGTGCAGGTCCTGAGTCTTTTCTATTGATGACCCTTTGGTGGTCACTGCCCACATCTCTCCTGTCACTGCTGAGTCTGGTTCCCTCCATTGTACAAATAATGTATTTAGACATATGGCCTTTATGTCTCGTTTGGCTTTTTCTGAACTATATAAGCCTATTTAGGTGACAGGTATCAGCAAGTATAGAACAGTAAGGAGAGGAAAGGTTTACTTTGTTTTACAAAATAATTATAGGACTAGAAAAGATCGATAGAATGATGGATAGAATAAAGGATATAGGAATGTTCTGTAGTTATTCAGAGTTGCAGAACAACCCACTCCAAATACACAAGAAAAAGTAATAATTATTATCTCTCATACTTATGGGGTGACTGGGCTCAACTGAGTGACATTAGCTCAGGTTCAGATGGTTAATATTGCCTTTTGTCTGGAACCTCAGTTGGGCTGTTGGCCTGAACACTTCATGGACTTTCCATGTGGCCCAGGATTCTTCACAGGATTTCATTTAAGCTCTAAAGACAGGCAAACCAAGAAAGAGAGAATTGGCAAATGTTGCATTGCATTTTATGATTTAATGCCAGAAATCACACTGCCTCACTTCTGCTACATTCTGGCATCCCATTTATTAGTATCAGCACTAATGCTGGCCCACCATGTCACTAATTTAAGGCAGTATCAAAGAATTTGTGGACATGTCTTAAAATTAGTGTGTGTGTGCGTGTGTGTGTGTGTGTGTGTGTGTGTTTAGAGAGAGAGAGATTTTAAAATTACTATATGTATATATACATCTATCTATCTATCTAGATGATAAATCCTTTATTTCTAGTTCAAACTATCCATTATACCCTGTGGAACATTACATAGTCCACAAATTGATTCTTGGATGTCCATCTTGCTACATATATCCAGGTTAGTTTTAAACAGTAGTGAAATTCACCTTGTAATGCAATTCCTTATTAAGGAATTTTTAATAAAGGGTCAAAATTATGTATTTTCTTATATCAAACTTGAACTGGGGTCTCTGTACTTTCATTAACAAATGTATGTATCATCTAATCTTATATGCTAATGTTTTTTACTTTTAAAAATTTATCTTAATACTTTAATCACAAAATGAAACAACTGCTTTATTTGAAACACACTTACACAATTATATGTCAACAAGCTCCGTGTCATGTTTTGCTAGCAATTAAGTCCACTTTCATCAGAGAGTTCTTCTGCTCCGTGCATACTATTTACCTGGGAGTGAAAGGAACTTCAAGCCTGGAACTCTTCTTTCTTCCCTTTAACATCCACATGCGCTACTGTGTCATCATTTTGAGCAACAAAAAGGTAAGAACAGAATTGTATTTTGTGTGTTTATCATTGTTTGCCACTTTAATAGACTATCCAGTAGCAGCTGACTTGAAGACAGCAGGAGACTCTAGAATGTAGATAATTTCAACCCCTCATGTTGTTAAGCAAAGTGGTTATCCTCAAGAACATCCAGAGTTACACTAGTTGTGGGTAAATTTTAGCATGGCAGCATGAGTAGGTCCCACGGGAACAGTGTGGGCATGGCTAACTTGCTGTGGCTCTATCTGTATTAGTTACCTATTGCTGTGTTACCAAATTACTGAGTGTCTTAAAACAACACATATTTATTATACAGTTACTTAGGGTCAAAGGTCCAGACATGCCCTAGACAGGTTCTCAGCTTAGGATCTATCAAGTCTTCAACCAAAGAATCCGCCAGAGCTGGATTCTCCTCAGAGGCTCAACTGAGGAAGAATCTTTATCCAAACTGCCTCAAGTTGTTGGCAGAATTCATTTCCTTGTGGGTCTGGGATCTGTGCAACTTGCATCTTCAAAACCAGCACAGGTATGAGACACACAGAGGCAGAGGGAAGAAGGAAGACAGACGAGAGGGAGAGAGAGACTACAGAAAGAAGGTTTTATAGCATTACTCCTTTCCAGAAAGACACTGCTGTGTGTTGACCTGAGGAGGCAATTTATTACTCCCAGGATATAGCCCTGAATGTATCGGTTATTTTTATACCAAATTGAGTACATGTGCAACAAAATATCAGTAATTAAAGAGAGGTATTGTATTTACCTGGTGTTTATAAAATCTTTTGGATGTGAAAAATAATAGAGCCCATTAAATATGTAAAATAATAGTTTCATTTTACGCTCAAAGTTACCACTTAGGAAAAAATGCCTTTATATAGTAATACTAACTCTTGTTTTTATTTATTTTAGAGGAATTCAAGATTTAACTAAATTCCTCTACATATAAAATTTATGAATAGCACAAGGGAGAGATAGGCAGTTGAGGGACACTGCCAGGGGTGAGGGGGCCATATAACAACACAAAGTGTACCTGCTCCTAAACCAGGGGAAGTGAGGATGAGTTGGAGGCCTAAGCTTCACCTGCATGTAGATTACTTATGTGCCTAATTCTGACTTGTACCCCACATCTTTATAATAAAATAAAGTAAAAATAAAATACAATAAAATTTGTAAAAAATTGTGACTATAGTGTGCCCAGTAATTTGATCAAATACTTCATACTCTTTTTTATATTAATTTATAATATAATCTAAGGAAATACTAGAGTTAATTCTCATTAGCACAGCAACAAAGTTGATTTTATTAACTATTAAATATTAATATTAGCTTACACAAATTTAATCTAATCAATAAAATATAATTATACTTAACTTGGCATCTCAATTTATTAAAACACAACTTTTGATTATATATATTTTGTCCTCAGAGAAAACATTAAGAAAAACCAAGTCTTATATTGCTATCAGTTGATAAATAATGCCCTCAATCTAAAGGATTGCATTGAATTACAATTACTTATGCAAAGAAACACATCTATTAATTTATACATTCAATTATATTGCTAATTATATTGAAAAATGCAATTACACGCTTAAATAGATGATCAAACATCCATGCCCACCTAGTTAGCTCCTGTTCTTATGAAATGTGTGATAACTGCTTTACCAGTAAGAACCACCTGTTGAAAACTATAAAGTAATTAGACTTCTACTTGATAATTTCCATGTATAAAACAAACATTTCTACTAACACTGCTATCAAGAAAAGGCCATCTGTTTCACTTTCGTTGTTCTGTTTAAATTTTCAAATAAAAAATGAAGAGGTTTAAGTAACAACTGTTTGAAAAAATAGTTTTACAAATCTTCCATCAGTGTTTATAGAAATTCTTAGCTTAGGAGAAAATATATTAAAACTCTAGAAATTCCTACTGTCAGATGCTAGAAATCCAAAGAAACTTTTGCTCTCATGTGGAATGTGGCAAAGTAGGTGGAGGACCCTCAAGCAGAATCAGGGCCCAGTCTCTGATGGATTGCATGCACCTTTTGCAAGGAAGGATTGGCAGACCCCTTCACAAAGCACACAGGCATTGCAAAACACACAGCAAGGTACTGAAACAACCCTGGAGCTGTGTCTTCACTGTGGTGCCCAGAATGTGAACATTCACTGTGTGATCCTAAATTTTTATGTAAGAAACTACCCCACATTGCTGAGCTGATCAGTATGAGAGAAAGGGGCATCAAGCAGTAATCTTTGACCTACGGTCTGGGTCAACAGAGGGTTCCAGCTGCAGGCATCTGCTGTAGTATAACTATCCCTCTCCCACCAACCGTCAGCATTTTTATTGACCCAACCCAGAGCTTCCCTTCCACTTAGAAGATTTATCTTCCACGCTTTGGTTTTTCTCTGTCTACAAACGTTGGTCAGAACAAATTGAGGTTAATGTCCTGGCATTGTTAACTTGAAGAAGCTGGGATAGGAATTGTCATCCCAGAGCAACATATGCAAACAGGTCCAGCCCTACACCAGGGCTCCACATACTGAAGTAAGTTTCAGCCTTAATAAACCAAGTTGAAGGTTAACAGGGAAAGTGTGACCACTCCCAGGTAGAAGATATTACAAGACCTTGTTGATTTTTGGTTTACAATAATGTAGCCGAAGGCAACTCCATACCAGTAGTTAAATATATTAAATGTCACTCTGGTCATCTGTATATTTGCATAAATCAGTGGAGCCACTTGTCTGACTCTGTACTATCCATCACTTCACACTCTCTCACTCTCTTGTATCTTCCTATGTCTGGTGATACAGAGATTAAGCTGGCAGTCTTTATTTTTAAATATCCTACAACAGATGTATAACCTTTTAAAATTATACTTAATGCACAGAATTTAACAATATTGATGTTTGCTTGTTTACTTATTATGAAAGCAAAAACGTTAAATTATATTGTGCTAAAATCTTTACGTAATTTTGTTTTTAGGCAAACTAATTTGAGTTTCATGAAAGATATCTTCATAGCTTTAGTCACTGAGTATTATTTGAGAATGATTTTTTAAACTTTCCATGATTTTTAATGGCAAGTCACAATTCCTTTGCTCCTTGATTTTTTAAAAATTGAATTTGTGGCAACCACTTTTCTTTGGGGGCGCATTAAATAGGCTTCTCTCCATAGGCGACACTCCTGATTTCCTGGGAAAACACAGGGAAGATAAAATCCCATCTAGCCTATAGTACTTTGAAACATTTATTAACCTCATTAATCCCTGCTGGCAATATGGGCACAGGTTAAGCGAAGTCTCTATCAACATGGTAAATATTCACAAAGTTACAGAGTCTCAGTCTCTTCCACACTGCAAGGCCTGGACTCCCTTCAGCCACCTTTCTTTCTCCTATTAACTGTAAAACCCTTATCCTGCAATAAGCACTGCAGCCTTTTTCAAGAATAACATGAGGAGAAAATCCGATATGAGAATTTTGTAGTTATTTACTCTTGAAGTCTTCTCTGGGTTCCTTATCAATGGTACTATCAGTTAGTCTGTAAAGATTACATATGCCTGGGTACCAACATTTTAGTTTCAGGGGATACACCTTATATGAAATGCAGCAGATGAGGGAACAATAATTACTATTTTCCAAAACTGATGCTATTGTTACATACCTTCTCATTCCCAAAAGACAATGTAAAATCTGGACAAAGACTGTAGCAAGTTTTAAAATTTGCCACCTTCAAGCTAGATTTTAATAATTTCATTTTATTATTCTGTTCACTTCTCCTAACACAATTTAATTTACTAGCAGTATAAGGCCAATTTCTTAGGCGGGGGAGTGAATACACAGAAAGGGCATGATACCTGTACTGAAGATAATCGCATTCCAGAGGAGAAGACAAACTTGCAGAGGGCTGACCCAGCTCACACAAAAACTTTGTGGGAATTTCAAGTATGTGTCCCCTCCAGGTGGATAAGAAAAGCTTGTCAAACATGTAGCACATCCCTATGATTTAGAAAAAATGCATCTCTTACTCAGTGGGTGCAGCCTTGTGCTGGGACAACCTTGCTCTTGACAAGATACCTTCTTGCAAGGCATACTCTTTGCTAGTGTATATGGTGTCTTAGAATATGTCCACTAATTTCCATAAAACAGACAGTGACAGTTTCTAGAATAAAAGGGCTGATTTATTTCTATATGATAGTGGAAACAAAAATAGTTCATTAATAGAGGAGTTTGGTTTAAAAAAGTTCTTAGTAAAATTGAGGCTGGACAGAGGAGAGGTGTGCTCAGGAAAAGATTCAAGGAACAAGGAAAAATAGCTAAGCATGAAATTTCATGGACATTTGGATTGCCAATTTTGAAAAAAGTTTGTTGTAAGTGACAGAAAATGGGTTGGATGAATTAATCAGACTGACATTGAGTAGGCCCGTGAATTTTAAGTTGAATTATTTATAATTCTTGTACTTACTATTGAAAGCAAGAACCCAATGGAAATATAGAAAGGATCTGATTTCATCTTTGTTTTATAAAGCATCTCTGGTGCCAAATCAGAGAGTAGATTATGAATTAGAGAAAACTGGAGCCAGAGTGACTGGCTAGAAGACTCTTGGAATCCATTATACCACTTCACACACTACCATTCTGTGCTGCTTTCTGATATTTCCTCTGTAATTCTGGGGAGAGATGCCGAGGACCATAGTTTATATTATTATAAAATCAAACTCAATGATAGTTTGGGTGATGCTCACACTTGAAAGGAAGCAAGTTTTCATTCACTTGCAGAGCAAATTGGTGGCAAATATTTGAATAGAAACTGTTCTGAAAATGCAATGTTAGCGGGAAAGAGAGATTGTTGATTTCCTTGCCACGTGACTTTTAAAGTCTAAGGACAGCTTCCTGGTATTTGATGAGATGATATCCTACAACATATCATGCACTTTCATTACATAATCTAATTATACTTTATGCCATTTAAATATATGTAGCCTTCTCAAAATGTATGTGGAATAATCTGTTAAGCATGCAGTTACAATTGTGTTAAAATTTTGTTAAGAAAGTTTAACTTTTCAGTACAGGTAAACAAATATTTTTCTGAGGTTTCTCACTCTCACTGAGTCTCATAGATCATCTTTCTGACTTAATTATAAATTATTTATAAAATATTATTTTAAAAGGACAGTGAGTATTCTTACTGATCAGGTATACACTATAATTATGGCAGTCAAATAGTCACCTACAATGATTCATGATCTCTTTTTTACTGTATGGAATTTAACATTTTAGAATTTTAGCTTAACTCCTCTGTGCCTGTTTACCCATCAAAATGACACAATACTGCTCAGTCAGTTCAAACAAATAAATACAAAACCTGGAAAGATCTAGACCCAATGTAAGAGAATAAATATAATTTATTATCTATAATTGCATAGAGATTTTCTGTCTAGGTAAATGTTCTCCTTTTTTATCCTTTTTAAGATTGAGGTTACTTGTATCTGGAGGGCATCCACGACTTGTTCAAGGTTACTCAGTTAATTAGCGGCAGATCTGGGATTAAAACTTTCCTGCCAATTCAGTGTTTGCGTCCCTCCTTTCTGAGTAATTAACAGCTGGTCTTGTAAATTTGCATGTAACTGTGTTATTTGAGGACTGCATCTAACTAGATACACAAGAGAAACAAAATATCTTCTGTAATTTTTTTTTTGTAATTGACAGTGGGCTTTTGCATCTTTCAGAAAATATAATTCCAATTAAACATGCCAACTGGAAGTTAGGAAATTAAGAGCAGAAAGAGATTTGTATAGGTGACTATTAGGGCAGCTCATGAGGACAAGTGCCTGCTAAGTGTCAGATAATTTCATTTCCCTTGTCGGAGCCTCTAGATTTGGAATCTGAGGGGTTTTTCTACTTTGAAACAATTATTTATTGCATTTGTGTGCCTTTTCTGGTCTAATTTTGTTCCACGAAAAGTAGAGGGAAATCATTAGACTACACTACAGATTATGGCTCTTCTGAATAATGTTCTGACACAGGAAAGGCAGACATTATTTTCAATTATATTAAGGGGTTTTTTCAATAAAAAGAATCTATTAAAGTTGAACAAGTTAGAAAAAATAAATTTGTGAAAGATGGTAATATAACTTGTGTGTAAGATGTAGAATTAAATGGAATTGAAGTCCTAATTAATAATATTTTAATTGGCTAATCAAAGGCTGAGAAGCTGTTTATAATTTATATGACAGGAAACTATTTTGGCAAATAGTAGATTGCTCCTTTTGAATTGACTCCCGTGGGTTGGCATTCATTTTCATGCGGTAGACAAGCCATAGTTCAGGTTTCACTCAGGCACACATTAAAACAGACAGATAATTATAGTAACTCTATAGTCAGAGTCTAATTGCTTATGAATACTATATATTGGCTGAAACAATTAATTTCTAGATAAAAACAAGGATGACACAAAAGTTTAAGTACAAACAATAATATCTTCTTCAGGCTCTACTTTGTTGAACTGATGCATTTATCTTTTACTTGAATTATTGAAAATTTTACATCATTAGTATCGATCATTCGATTATATTTGTACTAAAGCAGACACACAAACACACTCAGAGAAATTACATTTCAAATGCCAAGCAAGGAATTTTTTTTTGCAATGTACATGGCTGCTTAAGAAAAAGTACTATGCGAAAATTATGTATAATGCACTATTTATTACCAGGAATGTATGAACTTAAATTTTAAACAATTTAAACCATTCAAAATTTTTTATATCCTTTGTTTTAGTATGAACTGTAGATAACTGTGGATCTTAATTAATAAAATTTTAGAACATTACCGTATAAAAATTGATCACTAAGTTAATTATAAATAAATCTCAGTGGGGGAATAATGTAAAAATTAACCTCATACTGAAATATTGTTTATTCTTTTACAGATTGATTTTCAATTTCTGCCATTTTATTTTTATCTTTGATAGCTAAAAATATTTTAGAATATGTATTTCTGTGTGAACAATTTACTTTTATATCATTTACTTATATATTGCTTGTTCAAAGTTATTTTGGGAATCATTGCTCACCCATGCAGTTAATATGTTTTAAGATTGTGGAACTCTTGAAACCAGTTACAGTCCCAGCTTCACAGCTAGTTTTCTTTCATTTTGATTTTGGAATAACTAGTTGCATGTCTGTAACAAGTCCATTCTGGTACAAGATTCTTTGTTGTATCTAAATTTGCCAGCCTTCATTTTCACTGGTATTCTCAAATTTTGACATCACCCTAGAGCTTTTGAGTCATATCTACATTTTCACAGTAGCTTTACATATGTTATATGCACATGAAAGTATGGGCAGGACTGCTCTCAAACCATTTGAGGCATCTCTTCAGTGCTTGGTAAGTGCCAGCAAAGAACTATCTTCTTATTATGTAGTCCTCACTGCATTGTTTGTGAGGACAAAGGGATAGCTGAAAAAATTTTATTAGGGAAAATATAAAATACTTATGAAGGAATGAAAAATAATTTTCTCTCTACCTTTCATTGTTCCTTAACTGGGACAGACTCTTGTCACAAAAAGAAAAGCACTTTATTAACATGTATATTTCATTCATATGTGGGAGATACACAGGGAATATGTAAATTTCAAAGTGGTGGCTTCGAACTCTGGCTTATATAGCATCTTTAACAAACAATGGTAAATTTTTAGAGAAGTGACAAGACAAAGGACTAGGACTTTGATTCTCTAGGAGAGGCAAATTGTGAGAAGGCAAATAAATGCTAGTTTGTTGTATAAATCAATCTGGCATCTTCCCCAGGCAGATAGAATCTAAAGTTGCCTCCAGTGATCAATCTTTGTCCTTCCTGGTAGGGAGGAAAAGAGGGCACCTTCGTAAATTTATATCCTGCTTTTAAGCAAATGGAGGAGAGAAGAGAGCTGTTGTTATATCTATTTCTTCTTATATATGCTTTTTGTTACGTGTGCATTTTGAATGTTCAGCTCAAAATAATCCTTATGCAAAAGAGTCATAATTTGGAGTGGCATATTCTGGTTTCCTGCCCATACAATTGTAGAAATAAAATTATAATAAAGCTCTCTAGTATCCTTCATCTAGCTACAACATGTATAATTAAACTTGTTTTATGATTAGAATGAAACAAATTCCAATCATCACTTAATTTTATTCATAAGCAATTTAGTGTCTCTACAACAGACTCTTTTTTGACATAGCCTATGATACCATTATTACTAAAAATATTGTAAAAACTTTTCTTAATTCTATCAAACATTCAGGCAATGCCAAATTTCTCTGATTGTCTCAAGGTTGTATGTTTTTTCCTGTCATTTCATTTTAAAATATTTTGTTTGAATCAGGATCTAAATAAGGTTCAACCATTCTGATTATACATGTCTTTTGCGACTTCCTCTCTCCTAATCCTTTTAATTTAAACTCTAGTTTTCTAAAATAAAAGTATTGATCATCTCATTTTACAGAGGAGAAAACTGGAACTTAGAGATGTAATAAACTTGCCTGAGACCTAGTAGCTAATGAATGGCAGTGCCAATTAAATCCAGACATGTTCACCTCTACTGATCTTTCACTGTATCATGTTGCTGCCCTTGCATTGTCCCTGCTTTTATTTTTTCTTTCTCGTTTAGCCTGTTAATCTGAAGAAAGAAATGGAGACAAATTAATACATATAGCTTATTTGGTCCAAAGTTGAGAACATCTGCCCAGGATACACTTCTAGAATGCCCTAGGGAATGCTCTCATTGGCCTTTGTTACAAGCAGGTTTTTAAAGGCAAAAGAGCCTAGCAGTGACCTGATACAACGTAGTTTGACAAAATTCCCACTGGTTTACACAAATAACATTGATTGGTGATAGGCTATACATTGTGGAACTATAAGGATTTATGATGCCCAGTATATGGCATTTTATGACTGCCTGCCATTAATTAGCATGTGGTCTTAAAAAGTAATTATTAGCTCAAGGGATTGTGAGACTTGATTGTTGTCACACATAATCACATTTCAATGCCTCCTTGGACCTGATAATTAAAGGGGGTCTGCATGCCTCAGATTAAAATTGTCTTTTCTTTCTCAAATCCTTTGTACTTCTTGACTGATTATTTGTTCTAAAAGATTTCTAGACCCTTCCATGCTCATTTTGAAAGCCTACACTTTAAAATATAGACTCATGGGGACTCAGACACTGCAGAAACGATGTATCACCTCTCCAATAATTAAGTTACAGAATAACTTACTTTCTTTTTTGTTAATTTTAAGATAGCAGTTTCCCAAGGATATTTGTAGTTAAAAAGATCAACTACTGTCTGCCATCTTGGGACTTTCTTAATCAATCCCTGTGTTCTGGTTATATGCAAAGTTTTCCCTATACTACAGTAGGGCTATCTTTATGTTTTACCTTCGTCCACTCATTTGGAGGCTATGTTGCTTATAAAAACACAATGCATCGCAGTTCTTATATTATGCAGATTTTCTTTGTAGCAGAAAGATTTATCATCTTTTTATGAGACATTTTACAATTTAATATTACTGTGTCTTATATTTTAGATTGGAGAATTAATATATGTTGTGGAAGGATTAGGTATGATCCCCTTACCTTCCAGTTTCTTTCCAATGAATTCTTCTTCAAATCCAATTGACTACAGCAGTACTCCAGAAGAAGGTAGAGTATATATGTTTTATTTTATTTATAATGTTGAAGGATGGGGCTATTCCTAAGCATCCTTATAATCAAATTTCTCCAGTATGTAACTAGATTTTGAATGGCCTGTCTTTATTACCAAAATGCCATGAGTTGAGTCAAGGTCCTGTTGCTCATGGCAGAGAAAGACAATCCCTGATACAATATGTATGTGCCAAGTAAAAATATTTTGTTATTCAAGGGTTATCAACCGAAGAGAACTGAAGACTTAGTCTCAAATTCGTCTCCCTGGCCAAATGAAGTTGGGAGTTTAAATGGCAGGGGAAAGAATGTAACTTTGTGTGTGTTTGGGGATAACAGTAATTAAGGAGGGGTAAGGAAGCAATCCAAGTGGGCATCTCATCGTATGGCTGTTTCCATCTGGTAAGTTTCAGTCCCTTGTTTGAGGGAAGGTTTTCTGAGTAAGGAACTCAGATAAGACAAATGTAAACTTTAAGCCTAGAAAGGTCAATTTCTGTATTTATTAAATATCATTTCTTTTTTCTTTTCCTTTCTTTTTTTTTAGTGAGAAAGCAGGACTTTATTGAGAAGACAGAAAAGCTCCCACAGTGGGAAGGGACCCAAAGGGGTTGCCCTATTAAATATCATTTCTATGGAGAAATTAGGCTGGTTTCACTTTTAACTTTATTGTGTTAGCATCTATGATATAGAGCATAATTTTTCCAATGTAAAAACTGGTGATTTTTGAAAGCTTTATTTTTTCAATCTTCAGATAAATATTAAAATTTGGCATACAAAATATTTGTTTAGCAAACTCCTGTTTCTCAAATAATTTGAAGGCTGAGGTGGAAGGATCGCCTAAGCCCAGCAGGTCGAGGCTGCTGTGACCATGAGCGTACCACTGCATTCCAGCAAAAAAAAAAGAAAGAAAAAGAAAGAAAGAAAGAAAGAAAGAAAGAAAGAAAGAAAGAAAGAAAGAAAGAAAGAAAGAAAGAAAGAAAGAAAGAAAGAAAAAATTACTACACTCTGAAAAATCCACATATTGTTGCAAGACCTGAAATTTTACCCTGGTCTCTAGTGCTTGATTAAAGGGTCAATAATGCTAATAAGCACTAAAATGTTAATGAAGGATAATGACAATTCTTGCCCGTCTTTGGCAGGTGTCTTTTTTTCTTTAACATTTATTTCTCCTTCCTCTACTTTCCTATCACTGATAGGAACACAATGGTCACTGAATTTTGAGCATATTGATGATGTTTCTTTAAAAGAACCATTTAACAAGAACTTTTCTTAGAGAATACCAGTAAAATATTTTAAATTTCTAAACACTCTCTTGAATCACTGAATTAGAACTAATAAAAATGTGCTGCCCATTTATTTTGAATCTGTTTAATAAAGGCCATAACTGCAGTTTTATATTTTAAACCTCCCAAGTCCATTCTGGATAACAATATCAAGGGCATAAATGTTCATTGCATTCATGAAAATGTTTTTGCTTTCCTTAGGATTTAAGAAGGAAAATCCAATTCTGTATTTAAAATGCAAACTCTGTCAAATCCTGGATGTGGAACTTAAATTGCCAATGACTAATGAAGCCAAGGAAAAGGCTTTGGCTTTTGCAGCACAGAAACAGATGTCAAATATCGAGTATGAGCGAAGGTTGATCACAGGCACTCTGGAGAGCAGTAGTATCCGCGTAGCCATTGCCCTCCTGGGGCTGAACAAAATCGAGGTGGGAATGGAGAACAGATGATACACTTAAATTAGTCTCTCTTTAAAAATACAGTTACAGACCTGTTATTACTTAATCATAACAACATTTTTACATAGAAAAATGATGAATATTGTTTTTCTCCAGAAAAAATGGTTCAGGTGCTTGTTTCTTTTTTTTTAACCTCACGAAATAATATACAACAAAGCACTCTACTATGTAATGTAAGGCATGACAGTGTAGTTGTTAATTCATAGTATGTAATTGTCAATTTTGGTGACACATTAAAATGCCTTGGAGAACTTAAAATAATATTAGTACCTAAGCCCCACTCTAGAACAATTAAATATGAATCTCTGTTCTAAATGTTGCCTAAGATGTTCTGCTGTGTATTCAGGTAGGCTCATCTCTTGTGTCAGATTACAAGACTCAGAATCCCAACTCTAACTCTGTCCAGCTTTGTGTGACTATGGGCTGGTTACCTCAACTTCCTGAAGACTCAGTTTTTTATATTTTTAATATAGAGGTGTCGGTAATTCCTGAAAATGAGATAATTATGTAAAATACTTAACATATTACCCGATATAGAATAAGTATCCTCTTTACATATAGTATTGTGGTTATTATTATTATTATTATCACTACTACTCTGATAGGACCCTTTACAGAGAGACAAGATACTGAGGCTTCTTTGCCAGGAAGCAGTGTTTATTTGTGCTGGCACTGGCCCTGAGGATTCACATCCAAAGGCTGGGCCCCAAATGCAGCGGAGTGTTGCCTTATATATTTTTCACTAACTTCTTTTTACATTCTAGCCCCTTTTTCTCCCCTATATGACAACATGCTTTTCAATTGGGTATTTTATGGCACAGGGTTGTAATAGGGTTATGCATGAGCACTTAGACATTGACTATGCCACGTTACTTCCTCTTGGTTCTGGGAAGGCCCTTACCACATACCCCACTTTGATACTTGGGCCCTTTGAGGGCCAATGAACATCGCCTGAGTTTAGTGGTTGGTACTTCCATAACACCATTAGATGTGCTGCCATTTTCCTTTCAACCATGGCCTCAATGAGGCTAGAGGCAGACCTTATATCCAGGGGAGCCAGACAGGGCAGGATTAGACAAATTCCCAAAATCATAAGTATAACACCTATGATTGTTTTAAAGCCCCCAAAAGTTGAGAACCATCCCCCAAACAATTCCCTGGGGTTTCACCCTTCCAGGTTTGGACTGGGGCATGAGCAATTTTTTTCATTCAGTTGGTGATTTTTTTTTTTACAACCTTTCCCTCATCATCTATTTGTAAGCAGCAGTTGCTTAAGTTAAACTTTTCACAAACTCCTCCTTCAGAAGCAAGCAATAATCTGAGGCTAAGTGATTCTGATAGACAGCATTGCATATCTTGGTTTGCTGTTTGGCTAGTATGTTAAGGGCTTTTGCAGTTTTATTAGTTATAATTTCAACAATCTCCTGTAATTGAATTATGTGGTTGAGCATGTAAATGGGGGTTCTATAGCCCCAGGACCCATCCTATGCCCAGGTTACCAGGCTATAGTATTGGATGATATACTCAGGAGACCACTTATCATCTTTCCAGTTTCCAATCTGAAAGGCACACTGTTTTCTTTGGGTTTTCCAGTCCTTGTATACTTGAACTCTTAAATGTTCCCCTCTGGCAAGCAGGAGGAGGAAGAAGGATGGACAGACAGACCCTGACACACAAGATCCTGACCAGTTTGGGGAAAGTATGGTATAGGCTATCTTCCCTCATATCCAGTACAATTCACTCAGGGCCCACCATTTGATGTCTGCATTGACATTGTCCCAGGCCTGTCGGAGGTGGGGGAAGCTAGGCAAAGGGTGAGGGTCTGGTTCAGAGTGGCTTGTGGAATGCCAACATTGGGTTTTCTGGCCATTGCATTATAAAATTTTTGGCCCAGGCATGTCAGGCTTTCAACAGAAGTGTTAAATTTTTCCCCATTGGACAAGGCAGATTTTTCCTATATTTGAGGTCTTAAAAAGCCAAACCCCAGTAGCAGGGCTAGGGTACCCTGTTTCATTATAGGGTTCATGGGGATTGAGTTTCCTATCTTTCCAAGGCCATTGATTTCCCATATTAATTTCTTCACATACATAGCAAGATGAGACTTTTAAACTTTGGTCAATAGTTTCTGCCAGGGCTAAGAACAGGCTTCTTGTGGATGAGATGGGAGGAGGTTTGCTTTTTATTTTTTCGTAGAAAAAGTAGAAGACCTGATAAGATATAGCTGAATGGGTGGTAGTGATTGTTTTGAAATGTAGCCTAGTTCCCGGGTCTTTGTCCCACCCATAGATCCAAATGCCGATTCAGAGGTTCAGTTGCCATTTGGGGTTCTGCAGGTTAAGAATGGTAAAATTAAGTTACAGGCCCCCGACTGACAGTCTGATGCAGCAGTTCCTTTTTGCAGGAGTGCCGTTTTGTCTCCCTTTTTCCAGGTGGTCCATGAGACACAGCTCCAGCTGGGGCAGTAAAAGTCAGGTGCATAGCACATAAACCACTTTTCTTGTACATGTAACTGTTGTTAAACTGGTAGTCATGCTCCCAATCTAGACCTTCACATGGGACATCAAAAGTTTTCGGGCCCTCCATGATGAGTGCATACTTTTTCCGTATGACCGATGCCTCTGGGCCAGAACCTATAATTGCACACATATCAAAAATTATTGATATCATTCTACTGGAGTTGGTGACATGAGTTTGAGTGATCAAGGACCCCTCCTCTTGGGAGAAGTGGACTTCCAACCAATCTTCACTAGAGGAATATTGTGGATTAAAGCAAGTGTACTGGTTCCTTTGTTGACAGATAGAATAGGTGGTCTTATTATTCCTGCAGGTCCCTGGTAAAAGACATGGATGTGGTAAACAAGGGTCCAAGTAACTCCCTGATGTGACTGAGTTTTGCGAATACATGGATCACAAGACAGGAAACTTAGGTCAATGAAAGAAGCCCAGGTTAGAAACAACCAATAGCAATAAAGCATCCTACCCACAAAACGAACCTCTTCTTCATACTTTCAGTCAACTGGTTTGGCTTTTGCTAATCCTATGGCCAAGATTGAGGCGAGGATTACAGCAATAGATAGGGACAAGGGGTGAAAGCTCAAGCTTCTGCCGTGTGTAGATTAGTCAGCTTCTAGAGTGACTAAAGCAGGGCTGCAGTCCTCTGGGGTTCTAGGGTCACAACTAGTTTTCTCCAGATGATAAGCTTTCCCAGTGTTGATGGATCAGAAGTACATTCCCAGTCTTGAGAGGCTGGTTTCACTCTGCTGTGGTGAATTCAGGGGGCCACTTCGGCTACCTTTACTGCAGTAGGGGTGGGTAAAATGACAGTGAATGGACCTCTCCGAAGGGACTTTCAGGGTTGGACATTCTTTTACCCATACAGCATTTTCTGCTTTAAAGCGGTGTGTGTCTGTGGTCAAGCTTACAGGTAACCACTCAGTAACCTAATGGTGTATAATGGTTAGGGTTGAGCCAAGGGCCTGCATTTGCTGTCTCAGGGTAAGGTTGCCCACTTCCTTTAGATCCCTTTGTATACCCCTGGTAATGGGGGGAAGGCATGCATAAAGAATTTCAAAAGGGGAGAACCCCATTGTCTAGTAGGGCTAGACCTGATTTTTAGCAAAGCAATTGACAATAGCTGGTCAATGTAGGTGGTTCTCCTGACACAGTTTACTTAGCTGTAATTTTAGAGTTTGATTCACCCGTTCTACCTTTCTGGAGCTCTGGGGACGGTATGCAGTATGTAATTCCCATGTGATTTTCAACTCCCTTGCCACCAATTGTATTATTTCAGCCATGAACCCTGGCCCATTGTTTGATCCTATGGTGACTGGGATCTCAAATTGGGGAATGATCTCTTTTAGAAGTTGGACCACTTCATGTGCCTTCTCTGTGTGGGTAGGGAAGGCCTCTACCTAGCCTGAGAAAGTACACACAAAGACTAACAGATATTTGCAGGCTCAGACTCGGGGAGGCTCAGTGAAGTAGTGAAGTCCACAACTATATTTTCAAATGGGGCCCCTCCAACACTCTGTATTCCAAGTAAGATATAAAAATTTGTGAGTAACTTCATGGCCACCTAAATTGCAGTGTCAGGGCCATAAGAAGGGGCAACGAGCCCAGCCACCCATGGCTCCCATAATAGTGACTTGTCTCTACAAGAGGAGGCCCATAGGTTGAGTTACCACAGAATGCTACACCCTGGTATCTACCATGAAGTCAAGGGACTGGTCCCCTATGGTCATTTGGACCATAGGCTCCAGGGGGCCTAACAAAATGGAACCTAATCTGTTCAACTCTTCCCTACAGTTTTTCATGGTAGTTAGGCCAACAAAATCATTCTCAGGGCCTCACATGGTTGGAGCATGGACTGGTACCATCCTTGGACCACCTGGTCTCCCCCTCTTTCCCTGGGAGCCAGACGATAATTCTCTGGACATTTGTTTTTCCAATGACCTTCTTGGAAACAGTGCGCACATTGGTTCTATCCCAATCTCATCTCTGGGCAAGGTGGATCTTCTTGCCCGGCTCCTTCTCTGACCCCAGCCTTGGCCTCAGCCCTGGCCTGGTGGGGCTGCTTTCCGGGAGTATCTTGACAGTTTCATCAGGGCGATAGCAAGCAGATCTATCTTTTTCTTTATTTTTTGGTCTGCTTCTCGTCAGGCCTCTTTGTCTCAGTTGACAAATACCTCCAATAGTTGGCTAGCATTCAATCCAGCAAAGCCCTCTAACTTCTGTAGTTTGCATCGGATGTCTTCCCGAGCCTGACCGACAAAAGCTGTTAACCATTTGCTGATCAATTCTGGATCGAAGGGAGTGTAAAGGTGAAATGCGTCACACAGCTCAGGCTTTCTTCAGGTCCCTGGAGCACCTCTGAGGTTTTACTATGTTCATAGCCTTTTCTCCTCCTTCCTTTATACTGCCTAAAAGAGCCTCTTGGTAACGCTCAAGCATCTGAAATTCCCAGCCACATTAGAGTCCCATTGGAGGTCTTCCTCAGGGAACTGATTCTGTGTGTAAGCCTACGTATTCACTATCCCTGTAGGGACTTGCTCCTCTAAAGCGGCCTGAGTAATTTGGCAGCGTTCTTCAGTGTTAAACAGTCAGGAGAAGCTGGCAGCAATCAGTTCAAGTAGGCTTGTGGGTCTGGATGATGGATTGCATTAGATCAATCATAACCTCAGGTTTCTCAGTGAAAGAGATGGTATGGTTTTTCCAGTTCAGGAGATTAGTGGTGGTAAAGGGCTGATATATAAAGCTACATTGTTCCCCTTGGATCTGACCATCTTGACTGTAGTAGAGGGGCCCTCTAATTTCTTTCGTGATAGTTGTAAAGCCTCTCAGCACCTGTGGGGAGGGGAGCCACCAGCATAGTCTTCCTGGTGTTTTTCGGCCGGAGTATATGGAGTTATAACCGGCAGCTTGGAAGTAGCTGCAGCCAGGGGTGTCTTGAGTGACTTCGTGGGAAGAGTGGCTTCAGGGGTGTGGGCAACCTCTGACGGGGCTCTGGCTGCAGTAGTTGTGGGGAGTGCAGGTGGTAGTGATGGGTACAATGGCACATAGGGCAGGGGGATTTCCTTGGGCTCCTCAGACAGAACGGGCTCTCAGACTCTGGTCGGCATTTTCTGGGACCCATCATTCGGGTAATCATGATTTTATAGTTCTAGACAGACTTTTAACCAAGGTGACTGAGAAAGGATTATATCTTGCCTACAGTCAATGTAAGGGAATTGGTCAGGGTAACCTGGGTCCCCCACAACAACTCTAAACACTCTGCTAACTAGTTCTTTGTCTAGTGACCCCTCAGAGGGCTAGCCTACCCCAAACGAAGGCCAATCTATTTCACAGAAGGTCTGAAGCTTTCCGGAAGTCAGCTTAGTACCATAGTCCCCTGAATATCCCTTTTTGAAATTTTTCATCGTACACTCTAGGGGGATACGCTTACTCTGTTTGTCACCCATTCCCTCCCTCTAAAAGATGACAATCACACACAAGAAAGGGAAAGGGAAGGGGTGAGTACTCACTTCATCCGTCTCTGGCCACTCTCCTTATGGAGATATTCCAAGCATCTCTTAGCAATTGGCAGGTTGGTATAAGCCCCTGACTAGGTTTTGATTCAGGATTTTTCCTGACTCTTCTACTGCCCTAAGCCATATGAGGTCACCATGGATCCACGAATTGGGACTCTACTCTTGCTTCATCGCCAAGCAGCATCTCATTCGCTTGCACTCACACAACATTTTCAGCCCGACGCCCAGTGCCCGAGAGTTGCAGTTTCCTCTCCTGTGGGACTACTCGGGCAACTCTGGGAGGTGATCAGGCTCCCCTTCTGCCTCTTAGGGACAGGCTTACCAAATCGAACACAGGTTCTTACCGGTATAATGGGCAGTGCTTCCCTGGCTGGTTCCTGGCCTCACTGTGTTCCTTTCTGCTTCCGGGGTTCTTGCCCTGGCACACCAGGAGGGCTAGTCCCCTATGGATAAATCAGTCCACTGGCCAAGGCAAGATGACCTCTCTCAGCATCCCGGAGGTCACAACTCGGCAACAAGAGAGGTGAAATCACCATCTCCATTTCTTGGGTGAGCCCCCAGAGATGTGGTACGACCCTTTACAGAGAGATGGGACACTGAATCTTCTTTGTCAGGAAACGGCATTTATTTGTGTCAGCACTGGCCCAGTGGATTCACATCTAAAGACTGAGCCCTGAACACAGGAGGGAGTTGCCTTATATACTTTTAACTAATTTCTTTGTACATTCTAGCCACTTTGTCTCCCTTGTATGTCAACATGCATTTTGATTGGGTATTTTATGGCACAGGGTTGTAACAGGGTTATGCATGCACACTCAGACATTGACTACACCACATTACTTCCTTTTTGTTCTGGGAAGGCCCTTACCACACTACTATTATCATTATTACATAGACTCTACTATTATAGTTTAAAATACGGTGCAATCTGTTTTCATGATTGAAATAAGATACAATCTATTATCACAAAGCAGCCAAAGTTATTCTGATAAATACAAACCTGCTAATGTTGCTCCTCTGTGCACTTTGCTGGCTTTTCAGCTGGTATCAGATAAAAACTCACATTTCTTGAATGGTCTACATGACCCTCCTGGTCAGTCCTGACTCCTCTCCTGATCCCTACTACTCCGCTGCTGGAGCCCATTCACCCAGGCCACACCCTTAGCCAGGCTTCCTGTGCTGTTCTTCAAATACACCTGGTGTGATACCCATGACCTTTGAACATGCTCTGTTATTTTTCCATGGACATCAGAAGGCTGTCTTCCTCAATTACATCAGGTCTTTGCTAAAATGCAGTGAAGTTCTGCTTCATCAACTTATATATATTTTTATATAAGTTTAATTTTTGTTTAAGGTTTACATATGAATGTAATTTTTAAGGTAAAAAAAGTTAAGCTAAAGTACATTTATATATTACATTTATGTACATTTATATATGAAATACACACACACACACACACACACACACACACACACAAAATACTTGGTACTATAAAAATCATTTCTTTTATTTATTGTCAGAATGCTTAAGTCTATATGACCCAACCACAGATTTCTAACAATTAATGATTGTATTTTAAAGATGACCTGGATTTTGAAGTTCTGATTGGCTCAAAAATGTCAAAACCTAAGGCCTTGATGCCTTCTTGACTAATTCATTCATACTGTGCTTCTAAGAAGCTGTTTTCTTCAGCTCAGCTCAAATCAAATTACTTATTTCTGCTACAGAACAATACATTAGTAATGGTTTATTTTCAACTTTTGGGACACTACTACAATAAAAATTTTCAATGAGTAGCTTTTTCAAACTTTAAGCCTATTATAGCACTCTTTTTCTCCTCACTGTTTCTTTTTAAATTCATTCTCTTCATTATTACATCTTGTCAGAACATTTTATTTAAATAAAAAAATGTTGAGGGAAATGGATTTTATCCATGAATACCCTTTCTATTATGTATGCATATATATAGTTTTTATCTTTCTTCCTCTTCCTGTACCTTTTTCCTTGGAACCCAGCACACCTTTGCATTTATTATTCATTTAATAAATTATGTTTTATATTAAATTTACTTTTATGTTTACCTGTCTCTACTGTCAGAATGTGAATTCCTAGAAATCTAAAGAACTTTTGTGTTTTTGTCTATCCCTTGCCATCTTATGCGTGATATGTGACCTGCTATTGTTTTAATTAAATTGAAAATGTGCCTAAAGAAAAAAAACATGTTACTTTTAACTTGCTTCACCTACACTTGGAGATCTGGATTTATCTTCAGTGCCCCATTTTAAGAAAGACAGTATTGAACTAGATTGTGTCTAGAGGAGCATATGCATGGAGGCGAGTTGTTGTAACCCACATTATATGAGTAATGTTTGAGGAACTAAAAATAACAAACCTAGCTAAGAACAGTTTTGAACATCTGTGAAATGGTGGTACCTAGTTGGTTTTTTAAATTCACAATATTGTAAAAGAGAAGGGCTCACTCTATACTACTATATATCTGATCTATCTGATGTGAAGATAAATATGAAGGAGCAAGGTTTCAACTCCAGGAAGGGAGCACTTTCTTAATGCCAGTCACCAGTGGAATGGTTTCCTCTTGGGGCAATGAATTCCTCAACACTGAAAGCATTAGCACAGGGGACCTTAGCCATCTCTCAGTAAAGGAAGACTCCATTGGAGTGAAATGTGAAATGTGTTTCTACTTTGTTCTACCAATTAAATATAAATGGATGAATTGAAAAAATGCAGTCCTTGGTGGATTTTTTCCCCAAATGTGTAGTCTAAATACATAGTCTATTTTTTGTGTTTGGGAGGTAAAAATTAGACTTATGTTCTAATTTTACTGTCTGTTTCAGTCTCTTATGCTCTTTAATACCTCAAAGTTGAAGAGGCCTAAGTCTGTTTTATATGCAACCGAAGTGAGTCTTCCAGGACATTTTGATATTCCCAAGAAAATCTACATTCCTCAGATTCTGGAACCCAAAGCTAAATTGACTCAATCTCAAGAAATTAAATCAGGTAAACAATAATGTGTGAACTGAAATTTTAACAGTGCTGCAGGAAATATGATGTATTTCACAGAGGCATGAAGAGATTATTTTGACAAGATGTTCTTAAATAATTGAAGAGAGTTTCAGCTATGTGAATACCAATTATTAAATATTTTGAATTATAAATGGTCAATATATTACATCATAGTAATCTAAATGTACTGAATTTAGGTACTGAATTACTGATACTGAAATTTGCAGACTTGGAAATTTTTGTTAGAGAGTAGTTATCTGATAAAGACAATAAGTGCACTTTGAGGATGATGAGCTCCTGCTTTGAGCATGAACTTGGTTACAGGAGTCATGCTGAAGTTGAGGTTTAGGTTGTTTCTAAAAGATAGGAGGGACGTTGATGGCACGAAAATTTCAGAGGAGAAAAATGTGTCATTTATGAGTAATTTATCTTTGATCTGGAGCAGGGTTCATTAGTTGAGTACTGTACTTACTTTTGGTCATCTGGTGCCCCTTCTGTTGCTGCAATCAACAATTAATATGAATATTGATACACTCATATTATTAAATACAAGTGGTAAGATATAAACAATGTGACGAAATAGTTTGAAATTACCTTTTTTAAAATTTCAGTTCCTTTCAAGCTGCTGGATAAGAGTAGGAATGTAATGTTTTCACTAGGGCTATTTCTAGGAAGTACCATCACTTCAGTATCATAGATTCCAAGTTATGTTTTCGCTAAATTTGGTTTTGTTGAATTTTTATTTGTTATTCTCCTATGGATTTTTGTGAACTATAAAACCTTCCTTCCTTCCTTCCTTCCTTCCTTCCTTCCTTCCTTCCTTCCTTCCTTCCTTCCTTCCTTTCTTATAGGAGTCTCACTATTTTGTCCAGACTAGAGTACAGTGGCTCGGTCATGGCCACCCCAGCATCAACCTGGTGATTCTCCTGCCTCAGCCTTCCAAGTAGCCATAACTACAGGTGCACACTACCACACCCGGCTAATTTTTTGATATATTGTAGAAACGAGGTCTCACCAAGTTGCCCAGGCTGGTCTCAAACCCCTGGACTCAGGCAATCCTCTAGCCTCAGCCTCCCAAAGTGCTGGGGTTACAGGCTTGAGCCATCGTTCCCAGCCTATAAAACATTTCTAAAACTAAATAGAAGGTTACAAATGATAAGTGTTACAGGGTAATCTGTTCACTTTACCTTCCTAGGAGAACTGAGATCCCAGACTCAAATGCTTAGTGGACATGCAGGTAACAAGAATTAACAGTTAATTCTGATCTGAGGTAAAAAAGATAATTAATCCTATGGTAAACTGGAGGGTAGATGCCCTGTCTAAACATTCATATTCAAAAAAATAAAATTAAAACAAAATCCCCAGCCAATCACACAACTGTGCGAGCATATTTGGCTTACTAACAGTCAATTTGAGATTCTATCATACATTTTTTAATCTTTATTAACTTCAAATTTTCAATGTGCTATTAACATTTTAAATGGATTACTTTTTAATCCTTTGAAATAACTGACTATAGCTGCATCTGTTTTAAGACACAGCTAGTATTGTCAATTCAAGCTATTTTTTCAGCCATTCATTCATTGACATTATTGAGCATCAGTTGCCTTGGGCAAAATGATGAAAATTGTCTATTCTTTCCATTCAAGGACTCACATATAAGTAGCTCTTATAATACAATGAGATAAATGCTACTGATAGACACTTAATAGAATATGTTTACAATTAAAATTAAGAATAAAATTAACTATGTAGGTTATCACAAATTTTAAAGCATTTCATTTTCATAAAACATAAAACTAACAATACATAGCATAAACTTGACTTGAAGCATGAAATATAGTTTGCTAAATGCTAATGAAGACTGTGGCATTTTTATATGATTTTTAATTATAAATAAGTGTAAAATTATTTATATTTAAAAGTCTGTCACTTAGATATTATTCTTAGACTGATTATTTACTTTCATATCAATTAACTATCCATTTTAGTAAGACATTTATTGTGAAAATATTTCAAAAATTGAGCAGCAAACAATTTTGAAATATTATGCTTACAACTTTTAAAATGCATTTGCCTAGCATGGTTTATGTATGACTTAATTTTCTGGGCAATTTAATTTATGGAGGGATTTTTTCATTCTGTGTTTCTGTTTCCACTATCTTCAACATACATTTAAATGAATTAACTTTAAGAAGGGTATCAGGATGCTTACAAAAACAAAATATTGTAACTCAAGATAATAAGAGGTCAAGTAAAAGACATACCCTAAACTCTGTGTATTCTATTGTTCAGTGATGGACATGATTAATGAAAAGGAATGCAAGATAAGCATTTTAACTTTAATAAATAGCATTCTATTAGAATTTGTATCTAAGAATATTAAAGTCAAAAGTTTGAAAAAGATATCTTTATGGCATAAACCAATTTGAGGAAAATAAATAGGCAAATTTCTGCCAATAAATACAGTAATATAGAAACAAATCTTTTTTTATGGATGCTATGGAGAAAGAAATAAGTGATAAGGATTTATATGGAGAACTAAGGATAGTCCAGTGTTCCTGCTAACTGCAAAAGAGGAGTGAAAGTAAAGCCACATTTATAATCTCTTGAAGTTCTTTTTTTTTTTTAAAGGCTTATAGGTTTTAATGTCTCATGACTGTAAAAGAACAGTCTCAAGGGATCCTCAGAAAAAATTGTTCTGACTTTAGAAGCACTTCCTGTGGACAATGGAGGGCCCTGCTTCATCATACTTGGGCTTGTTGATCCACATCTCCTGGAAGGTGAAGAGAAAGGCCAGGATAGAGTACCTGATTCACACTGAGTACTTCTGTTCTGGGGGAGAAATAATCTTGATCTTCATGGTACTAGGGGCCAGGGCTGTGATCTCCTTCTGCATCCTGTCAGCAACGCCAGGGTACATGGTGTTATCCCCAGAGAGGACATTGTTGGCATGTAAGTCCTTATGGATATCAATGTCACACTTCATGATGGAATTGTGGGTTGCCTTATGAATTCCAGCAGACTCCATTCTAATGAAGGAAGGCTGAAAGAGGGTTTCGGGGCAGCAGAAGCGTTCATTGACAATGGTGATGACCTATCCGTATGACAGCTCATAACTCCTCTCCAGAAAGGAAGAGGAGGCTGCTGTGACCATCTAGTTCTCAAAATCCAGGGCCACATAACACAGCTTCTCCTTGATGTCTCACACGATTTCTCACTCAGCTGTGGTCACAAAGGAATAGTCTCTTTCTGTGAGGATCTTCATGAGGTAGTACGTGAGGCCGCGGCCAGCCATATCAAGGCGCATGATAGCATGGGGCAGGGCATAGCCCTCATAGATGGGGATATTGTATGTGAGACTATCCCTCGAATCCAGGATGATATCTGTTGTGCTGCCAGAGGCATAGAGGGGGAGCACACCTTGAATGACGACATACATGGCAGTGACGTTGAAGGTTTCAAACATGATCTGGGTCATCTTCTCCCTGTTGGTTTTGGGATTTAGGGGAGCCTCCGTGAGCAGAGTGGGGTGCTCTTCAGGTGTTATATGCAGCTTATTGTAGAAGAACTGGTGCCAGATCTTCTCCATGTCATCCCAGTTGGTGATGAAGCTGTGCTCGATTGGGTATTTGAGAGTCAGGATCCCTCACTTGTTCTGAACTTCATCTCCCACATTAGCTCTCCTTCTGGCCCATTCTCACCACCATACCCTGGTAGCAAGGATGGCCCACGGTGGAAGGGAAGACAGACTGGGGGGCATCTTCTCCTGCAAAACCTGCCTTGCACAGGCCAGAGCCACTGTCACTCATGAGCGCGAAGGTCTCTTCTTCACACATGGTGAGTGTCTCTGAGTGATCTGGGGGTTGGAGCACCGAGTGTAATAGAGGTTTTTCTCCAGGTGACTGAGGGATGGTGTGTTCTTAAAGGTAAAAACTCATCAAAAGGAGCCACTTTTGAGGTATTAACAAATGGCTGTCTTCTTCCCTCTTATATTAATGTTGCCTATTAAACATTATGGTTTTGAAATCCGTAATGAAAATTGCACATTTGTGATTACAATAACTATTGAAAAAAATTATTAAAATATAATCTATTTAAACTAGCAGCCAGACTTTTCTTATGTGGTAGAGGATCAAGAAAAAGCCAGGCCATAAGGTATGACAGAAGACATGAGTTTTAGACTAAACCTTGAGAATGTAACACTTGCTTCAAAATTTGACACTTGAATTTCAATAGTTACTAGATTTGAAAGTGTCATATTTTCTTTTTTCTGCATCTGTTATAGTGCCTAACTAACATATAAATATAACCTTTACTTATTATGCTCATCCTTCGACATACTTGATTGTCAAGGAATATGGAATTTGTGTGATGAGGACTTAGACAAGTAACTTTTCCATGAACCTGGGTAAAGCATCTGTGATTTCCTATCTAAATAAAGCCCATAATAAATATTTGCATTGATCATCCCTATCTACTACTTAAAACTTTTCATCTAACAATTTATCTGCCTTTTCTTTTCTTTTTCTTCTTATCTTTTTTTAAATACAAGTTTCCTGTATATTGGTAACAAAGGCAAAAAAAAAAACAAAACAAAACAAAACTAGTTAGCTTTTGGGATATTCTAATTGAATCCGTTGTTTAAAATAGTTTGGTAGGCCTGGCTTGGTGACTCAGCCTGTAATTTCAGCACTTTGGGAGGCCAAGGCAAGTGGATTGCTTGAGTTCTCAGGTTTGAGACCACCCTGGGCAACTTGGCAAGATCTCGTCTCTACAATAAATCAAAAATTAGCCAGGCGTGGTAGCACCGCCTGTAGTTTTAGCTACTTGGAAGGCTGAGGCGGAAGGATTGCCGGAGTCCAGCGGGTAGACACTGGGGTGACTGTGAGTGTGCCAACTGCACTCCAGCCTGGGCGACAGAGTGAGACTCCAGTTAAAAAAAATGCTTTGTCTGGAACTGAACTCTCACTGTAACTAAAGTATGTCTGTGT